ACAGCGCGGCCGCCCGGCTCCGCAACCCCCCTGGGCAGCGCCGCCGCAAGGTCTTCGTGGAGCCCATCGCCGAGGACGACTGGAAGGTGTTCTGGGGGGACACGGTGAGTCTCCCCATACCCCCCAGGGTCCCCCTCCAGGCTGGCGGCCAGGCTGGGGGTCCCAGCTGTACCCCCTCTCCCCCCACAGGTCCAGGTGCTGACCGGGAAGGACGCGGGGAAGCAGGGGAGGGTCACCCAGGTCGTGCGCCCCCGGAACTGGGTCGTGGTGGAAGGGCTGAACACGGTGAGGCTGGGGGGGATTCGGGGGGTGCTATGGAGGCTGGGGGGGGGTCACGGGCTGTCGGTGACCCCGAATCCCCTCGCAGCACTACCGTTACATCAACCGCACGGCCAAGTACTCCGGGACCTACATCGCCAGCGAGGCGCCGCTGCTGCTCAACCAGATCAGCCTGGTGGACCCTGAGGACAGGTAACAGCTGAGGGGGGGCTGAGGAGACCCCGCTGAGCCCCCCCCGTGCCATTCTGCCCCCTCCCACCACCCGTGTGCCCGCAGGAAGCCCACAGAGGTGGAGTGGAGGTACACAGAGGAGGGCGAGCGCGTCCGCGTGTCCCTGCGCAGCGGCCGCATCCTGCCCGTGCCCCCGCAGCCACGCCGGGATGGCATCGTGCCCGAGAACTGGATCGGTGAGCGGGGCGGCAGAGGGCCTGGGGGGACGTGGGGAAGGCATGGGGGGCTCAGCTCTGCTGTCCCCTCGCCCACACAGACGGCCCCAAGGACACGTCAGTGGAGGACGCGCTGGCCAAGACATACAAGCCGTCCCTGAAGACCTTTGAGGAGGAGATCATGGATGCCATGGGCATCGTGGAGACACGGCGGGCCAAGAAATCCTACTGGTATTAACTGGGGGGGCAGACTTCCCCCCGGCTTGGGTTCTGCAATAAACACACCCCTCGATTTTCCATGTTTTTGGCACGTGGCACTTTCGGTGCAGCCCCAACTCGCTCACACCCAGCCCTGGGCAGTAAAAATCGCGGGTTTATTGTGGTTTGTGCCCGGGGCAGGGGGGCTCTGCTCTCCCCGAGGGGCTCTCAGCCCCCTGGGTCCTCGTCCTCGCTGCTGTCCCCGTCCTCGCTGTCCTCGGCCAGCACCGCGGCCAGCGGGGTCCGCGCGGCCACGAGCACCAGGTTCCGTGGAGAGAACAGGGGGTTGAAGAGGGGCACGAGGGCACAGTGGAAACCTGGGGGAGAGCAAGAGGGAGTGTCAGAGAGAGGGTCACGGGAGAGGATCAGAGCAAGGAGAGGGTTAGCAAGGAGAGAGAGGGTCGAGAAAGGAGAGGATGAGGGTCCAGAGGAAGGAAAGCTGGGTTGGGAGAAAGGAGACAGGACAGGGAGGGTTGGGAGAGAGGAGAGGGAATATCAGGAGGATTGGCAGAGGGAGGTTCAGGAGAGAGAAGGAAGGTCAGGAGAGAGGAAAGAGAGGGCCAGAAGAGGAGAGAGGGACCAGGAGAGAAGAGAGGTAAGGTCAGGGAGAGAAGGAGAGTTGGCAGAGAGGAAAGAGAGAAGAGGGAGGATCAGAGAGAAGGTTGGGAGAGAGGATAGGAGTGAGAAGAGGGAGGGAAGGTTGGGAGAGAGAGGGCCAGGACAGAGGAGGAAGAGGATCAGGAGAGGGTAGAGAGGAGAGGGAGGGCCTGGAGAGAGGGAACAGGAGAAAAGAGAAGGAGGAGCGGGAGAGAGAGGATCAGGAGGGTGGAGAGGAAAAGGAGGGTTGGGAGAGAGGAAAGAGAGGGAGGGAGGGTTGAGGAGAAGGAGGGTGGAAAGAAGGTTGGGGGAGAGGATCAGAATGAGGAGAGGGAGGGTCAGCGAGGAAAGAGAGCTTGGAAGAGAAGGAGGGTTGGGAGAGAGGATCGGAGGGAGAAGAGGGAGGGAAGGTTGGGAGAGAGAGGGTCAGGAGAGAGGAGGAAGAGGGTCAGGAGAGGGAAGAGAGGGGGGCCAGGAGAGAAGGGGGATCGGGAGAGAGGGTCGGGAGAGTGAAAAGGAAAGGTTAGGAAGAGAAGGAGGGTTGGGAGAGAGGAAAGGGAGAAGAGGGGAGAGCTAAAAAGAAGAGAGGAAGAGAAGGTTGAAGAGAAGGAGGGGAGGGGGAGGCCCCCCGGCCGTGCCCACCTCGCTCCCGCAGGTACAGCAGGCGGTCGAGCAGCACGAGGGTCTCCACGACGGGCGCCAGGAGCTGCTTCAGGGTGCAGAACGCGAGCACCTTGTGCTGCTGCTCCAGCATGGCCTCCACGGCCCCCGAGTCCAGCGGGACCCCCGACGGGTCCAGCCCTGCCAGGCGCAGCCCCAGGCGGGCGTACCTGGGGGGGGACGGTCACATGGGGGGCTGGCAGGGTCCCAGGAAGGGGTCCCCCCTCCCCAGACTCAGGAGGAGGGTCCCAGAAGGAGATCTGCCTTCCCCAAAATCACTGGGGGCCAGGAGGGGATGAAAAAGAGGGGATGAAAAAGAGGGTCCCCCTCCCCAAATTCACAGGGGCCCATGAAGGGTTCCAGAAGGGGGTTCCCCCTCCCCAAACTTATGAGAAGGGTCCCAGGAAATAGGTCTCCCCCTCCCCAAAATCACTGGGGGCCAGGAAGGGTCCCAAAAAAAAAGGTCCCCCCTCCCCAGATTCACAGGGCCCCAGGAAGGGTCCAAAAAAAGGGGTGTCCCCCCTCCCCAAACTCCTGAAGAGAGTCACAGAAAGGGGTCCTCCCTCCCCAAAATCACTGGGACCTGGGAGGAGATGCAGAATGGGGTCTCTTGCTCCCCAATGTCACAAGAAGGGTCCCAGAAGAGGGTCCCTTTCCCCCAAACTCGCCGGGGGCCAGGAGGGTCCCAGAAGGGGGTCCCCCCTCCCCAAACTCACTGGTGGAAGCCGAGGGCGTGCGCGTTCCTGCCCGCCTGCAGGCCCAGGTGCCTCTTGGCAGGGTCGGCGGCCTGGATGAGGCTCTCGAGGGCGGCGCGGTAGCAGTGGGTGCACAGGCGGGCGCCGCCGCTGCGCAGCCGCCCCTCGTACTCCTCCCGCGCGTGGCACGCGGCCTCCCGCGCCCGGTACGACAGCTGGTGGCCCGGCAGCGCCGCCACCGTGGCGCTCAGGGGGTACCCCGGCGGGGGGCAGCCGGGGGGCTGCGGGGCGGTCGACACTTTCATGTAGCAGCAGCCCACGGAGGCCACGGCGGCCACGGCGGGGCTGCGGGCGAAGTGGCGCAGCAGCGCCGGGCTGAGGTCGCCGCAGGCGTGGAGCCCCGTCACCAGCACCGGCCCCCCGTCCTCGGAGCCCCCCGGGCCCCCCAGCGGGTTCTGGGCGGCGGGGTCGGGCCCCGGCGGGTCGGGGGGCAGTAGGAATTCCCCCCAGGGAGCGGCGGGGTCGAGGCGCCCGGGGACGTGGCGCGGGGCGCGGGGGGTGAGGGGCCTGACAGGGTGGTTTGGGCGGCGCCGGGGGTGCCCCCCGTTCCCCGAGGCCCCCGTTTTCCGCAGCTCGCGCAGCAGCTCCCAGTCAAAGCACTTGGCCACCCCGGCCAGGCGGCTGTCGCTCTCCACTGCTGTGACCGACAGGCCGAGGCCAAAGGACAGGAAGCGGGAGAGGTGGCCCTGGGAGGGTGGACACGTGCTCAGAGGGGGTGGGGGGATCCCCCCAGAGCCCCCCTGTGTCCCCCCACCGTGTGCTCTTGCTCTCACCTGTCCCGCTCCGACATCCACCACGCGCTGGCAGCCGGTGCTCTGGCTCAGCCGCCGCAGCAGCTGTGGGGATAGGGGGTGTTGTGGGGCTGGGGGGGAGCTGGAGGCTTGCAGGGGAGGCAGGGGGGGCACCCACCTTGCCAAGGCGTTGGATCTCGTGCTGCTTTTTGAGCTTGATGTGGCGGCGCAGCAGCGGGTGCAGGCGGGGGCTCTGGCGCGGGGTCCCCCACGGGCGGTCCCGGGGGAAGGCAAGGGCCCGGGCGGCGGCGGCAAAGGCCAGCAGGGACAGGGGCCAGGCAGCCCCAGGACCACCACGGTCCCCCAGGAGCCCGGCCAGCTGCTGGGGGGTGGCACTGTCCAGGGCGGGCTGCCAGGCCAGGGGCAGCTGTGCCCACAGCCGCTCGGTGAAGAAATCCTGCGGGAGGGGGTTAGTGCGGGGGGCACGGCTGGGGGGACATGGCCGAGGGGGGCCAGGGGAGACGTGGGGACACTCACGATGACGAAGGCGTCGATCAGGGGCCGGTAGAGGCTCAGGAGGTGGATGATGTCAGCGGCTCGACGCTGCTCCGGTGACTCCTCCAGGTGCTCCTGGTGCTCCAGCGGCTGCCCCAGGTGATCCCGCTGCTGCTTCCGCTGCTGCTCCGGGTCTGGCAGCTGCTCCGGGTGCTCCTGCTGCTGCCTTGGGTTCTCCAGCGGCTGCTCCGGGTGCTCCGGTGGCTGCAGGATGAGATGGGGAGCAGCTGCCATGGCAGCACCTGTGGGTGGCAGCGGGAGGGGGTGTCAGCCCTGGAGCTCTGATGTCACTCTTGGGGCTCTGACATCACCCTGGGAGTGTCCCCTGGCACTCTGACATCACTGCAAGACGCGTCCCTATGGGGCTCTGATATCACCCCAGGTCTCACCCCACCTCCCCCTGGCTGTGCCCATCAACGTCCAGCGGTCGTAATACGTCACCAGACCGTGACGTCACGCAAGGACGCAATAACCCCTTTCCGCCCCCATGACGTCACGCGGCTGTGACACACCCCCCTCCCCGACGCCATGACGTCACCCAGGGGCGCCGCTCGCCCTCGAGCACCTGCGACTTCCCCGGGCCGGCCGGGACACCGGGCAGGCCGCGACAACCCCCCCCGGGCCAACACCGGTGAGCTGTAACGTCTCTTTCGACGTCACCGGTGACGTCACGCAGGCGCGGGTGGCGTTACGGAGCCGCCGCCGCCGCCCGCGCGCGCCGCCCGGCGCGGGCCGAGCTCCCGGCGCGGCCCGATGACGTCACTTCTGTAACGGGCCGGCCACGTGCCGCCCGCCGGCTTCCGGTTCCGGGCCGCGGAGGTGAGGGGCGGGGGGGGGTTGGGGCCGAGGGGTCCCGCGGTCCGTGCTGGGGGTCGTCGAGGAGTCCCGGGTGCCGAGGGGTCCCCGGTGTCGCTGCTTGGGCTGTCAGGAGTCCCCGGTGCCGGGGGTCCCGGGTCCCGGTGTCGAGGGGTCTCCCGGTGCCGGTGCTTGGCGGTCCAGGTGTTGGGTCTCCCGGTGCCGAGGGCTCTCTGGTGCCGGTGCTTGGGGTGTGGGGGGTCCCGGGTGTTCGGGGTCCCCGCTGCCGCTGTTGGGGGTCCTGGGTATCGGGGGCTCCCCGGTGCCGCGGCTCCCCCGCCGCTGAGCCGCCTCCCCCCGCCGCAGCAGCCCCGTCCCGCTTCCCCGGTCCCGCCATGGGGGATTTGATCCTCAACGTGGACTTGACCGCCCCCGAGTGCCGCCCCAAGAAGGAACGGGGCAACCGAAAGCACCAGAGCTTCGTGCGGCGGCGGCGGGAGCTGGAGCGCCGGGGGGTCCTGCGGCAGAAGCAGCTCCCCCCGAACCGGGGCGGGCCCCGGCGGACCCCGGCGAAGCCTCCCCCGTCGTGCCCTAAAGAGAACGGCTCTGCCGGGACCGGCGTTCCCTCTAACACCAAAGGGAAGGGTCGGGGGGCTGCCGGGGGCACCCCCGAATCCACCGGCGCCCCCTCGGCGCCCCAGAACGGCCGCGCAAAGACCAAGGGCAGGGGTCGGGGGGCGGTGGCCGGAGCCCCCCCGGCGCCCACCAAGCTGCTGGCCATGGACTGCGAGATGGTGGGCACGGGCCCCGGGGGCCGGACCAGCGCCCTGGCCCGGTGCAGCATCGTGTCCTACGACGGGGACGTTGTCTACGACCGGTACGTGCGGCCCGAGGCGCCCATCGTGGATTACCGGACCCGCTGGAGCGGCATCCGCCGGCAGCACATGGATAAAGCCGTGCCCTTCCACCAGGCACAGCGGCAGGTGGGCGGGGGGGCAGCCAGGGGGGCTGGGGGAGTGCGGGAATGGGGCTGGGGGAGCGTGGGAATGGGACTGGGGTCTGCAGGTCAGGGGAGGGGACTGGAATGGGGGCTTGGGGTGGGGGCTCAGGAGTGGGAGTAGGGGTTGTGAGGGTGGAGGGGGGGTGGAAATGGGGATGGGGGATGCAGGACCAGGGTCTGCAGGTTGCAGGATGGGACTGGAATGGGGGGTTGGGGGCACAGGGCTGGGAGTGTTGGTGGGGGGAGAGGGGCTGGGGGTGTCAGGCTGCAGGGCTGGGGGTGAAGGGTGTGGGGCCAGGGTGGTGGCTGCAAAATTGGGGTGGGGGGCTGCAGGGCTGGAAGTGTCAGGCTGTGGGGCCAGGGCTGGGATGGGGGGCTCAGGGGGAGTGGGGGGGCTGCAGGGTGAGGGGTGTGGGGCTGGGTGGGGGGATGCAGGACTGGGCTCATGGGCTGGGGGATGCGGGGCCAGGGCTGGGGGGTCGTGGGGCTGGGGGTTGGAAATGCTGGGCCGGGGGTGTGGGGTCGGGCTCTGCAGCTCAGGGGCTGGGGCCAGGGCTGTAGGTTGTGGGGTGGGGGGCTGAGGGGTGGGGAGCTATGGGGTTGGGGGTGAGGGGCTGCCCAGCTGGAGTGGAGAGTGCAGGGTAGGGATTGTGGGCTTGGGGTGGGGGGCTGTGTAGGAGTTGGGGGGGGGGCGCTGCAGGGCCGGGCTCTGTGTCCTGTGGGCTGGGGGACGCTGGGCCAAGGGTGGGGCTCATGGGCTGGGTGTGGGGGGCCGAGCT